GTACGGCGTACGGCGGCGTCGGATCAGCACGTGGCTAGGCGTCGGCGGGAACACGTGACGGCGGTCGGCGGCGACCAATGAGGCGACGGGCCGCCCGACGCCGACGACCAATGATGATCGGGACCGGTTGCCGGGCGAGCACGACGGGGCGGGGGTACGGTCGCCGCGGCGGCCCGTGCGCGGGTGGACGCGAAGAAGACCGCGGCAGTCAGTAACGCGCCGACGAACCGGTCGTACACGTGCGCGCCCGCCACAACGGACACGCGGTCGTATCCGGTGCAGTAAACAATCGCGCCGCATCCGGTCGTGCTCGCCAACCCGTGTGCCTCTCTCCGCGGCGCTCGTCAACGTTTATCGCATTCGTATCCGCGTGCGGTGTTTTTTCACCTTCGTCCCGTCATCCGCGGTCGATAATCGCGTGCGATCTGCTTCCCGACCGAAAAACGGACACGACATGTACCGATCGCGCGTACGCGCCGCCGAACCCGGACCGGAAACGTGAAACGCTCGTCGTACTCCGTGCGATCGTCATCGTTCTCCGACCGCGCTACGAAATCGGTACCGATTTTTCCCCGTCCGTTCCGTCGAACCGTCAAGCTGGATTTCCAGGCCAATTCGTCGAACATGTTCACCAGGTAATGTTTTTTTCGCCAAATCTCTCTCCCCCCCCCCCCACTTCCAACGTATACGTAGCGAACGGTTCGGCCCCCGTGTCGAACGATCGCTCCGTTCACTACTATCGCCCGTGTTCTCGCAAAAACGTATTGCGATAACAACGATGTACACTATTTTAACACGTTTTTACACCCGAGCACCTACCGAGTGCAGAATACCGGTTCATCCGATACAATAACATCGTTGCTTGTACGCGTACCCTTTTTCACGTGCACAGTATGTTTACTGCGTTATACCTATCAAGTCAAAATCTAAACTCAATAATATTACAATATACATGTTTTGGAGCCCCCTCCCCTCCCCCCGAAAAGAATTTCTAGATACGGCAATGATATAGGCTATGTATGACATTTCATGTTCCATCGGCTTAAACGGGAATAATATTTCAATGGAATCCGCAGCGTTATAATGTCTAAATATTATTATTTTTTTCGTGTAAAAAATTTTAACTTAACCGTCTACCTACGTGTAAATAATCCTATAGGAGCACATTTTCCTTTCGATTTTTTTTTCGATACGGTTTCAATTGCAAATAACGTGTTCATCGATGACAAATAAATCGCAGTATATTTTATTTTCAATTAAACATTAACAGTCACTTGCGGTTTAACATCGAAAAATAATTGCTTCATTTACATTCTTAAAAATTCATCGAGAACTATCAATAATGCATGTAAAAGATAACAAACCTCTAGTTGTTATATTTGGTTTCATTAAGTTTCGATATATATTTTTTTATTTATTTATTTTTTTTTTTTTGAGTAAAACCGTATCTTGTTTTTAATGCTTCAAAGTACTATATTTTAGATCATTTTTGTATAATGATAAAATTATTCCTTCGTTTGAATATACTTAGGTATACCGTTTCACCAGAAGCTTATTTTGTTGGATTAAATTTAAATAAAAATAAATTATTGTTATTTAATCTATAGCATACTTTTATATTTTTCTATTTAACCAGAAAAAATTAAAATGTTTTGTAAATTTGCACCGATCACAATTTTTAATCAAATGTTTTAGGAGAATCCAATTTCTGTTTCAGTATTTTTAATCTGAGAAAATGTTCGTAATTAGTGTACACCTATAGGTACTTCCCTAAATAGCTTGATACTAGACGATAAGCGTCGATATGAAATAGTTGTATCTACATTCCATACACTTAGGTTATTTATTTAATGAAATCTTCGGCCATTAATGTATTTTAATTTGTATTCAAAAAAAAATGTTTATGCATACGAATACTTGATGTAATTGAATATTTTAATATTTATAAAATGTCAATAAATATAAATATGAATGTTTTGCTATATTCGTAATATTTTATCTAAAATTATATAATATATACGTACATATCTATATTTGTATTCATAGACAAATTTCTCATACATTTATTTAATAATAGTATTAAGAAAATACACCAATTTGCACTCTTTCCATGACTACTAAAAGAATAATATTAATGGTATGAATAGTATATCTTAAAGTCATAATTTTTTTACATAAATCATTCTTCATTCACAATTATGTTTATTGAACAATTATTGTAAGCCATCTTGTAATCTTTTAAAATAAAATAATAGTAAAACATTTTACATATATAATGAGTGTTTTTTTTGTAAAAACAAAATTCAGTCAATTTTTCAAAAATACTCTGAATTAATTTAATATATTTTGATTAAGGTAATAATAAATTCCTAGCATTATCCGATATAAATTATTACAGCGTATTACGAGTGTATTATTATGGTTAAATTGTATGAATTACAGTAACCATTAAAACTCGTCCACCTAATTATAAAGCATTCAATCAGTTTTGCACTTAAATCTTTTAATTAATTTATGGAGTTATAACAAAACATGTTTGGCACACGTGCACATCCCACGTCAAGAAATCCATTAAATCTTAATATCAGTAATATTTTTTACAATAAATTTTTTTTATTTTTTTTTTTTTTATTATCTTATGTACATTTTTACTATAAGATGAAAGAAAAAAATATGGGATTAATAATTTAAAAAAAATTTGAATCAGAGTGTGCGATTTTAATTATTAAAAAAAATATACAACTCCACGCCGACTGTTTGCAGATCTATATAAAATGTTAATTCTTACGTTCGAAACATGTTAATAACTATTATTTTTTACGGTACTTGGTGTAACCAGTCCACGTTAAATACAACCGGAGATGTTATCGATATTTACCGGCACTGTAGGCGGAGATTTCCGATTAATATCAAGGCTCAAATACTAGCAACCCAATATACATACATGACGTTCCAATATAGCGTGTAATCAATATGACTCCGACATATTATTCTTGTATTATATACATGCATTTCAAAATCAAATTAATTATTTCAATACCCGCGAACGATTCGTAGATAAATAAAAGTAAGAAAAAAAAAAAAATTCGAATCCGCGAGAGCCTTACACGAACGTTTCTCTACCTATGGATCGCAAATAATTTTGAATGGGTCGCCACATCCAATTAAAAAGTTGATACAATAATAGGTGAATCAGTATATGAATAATATTAGTATAATCAGTATATGTATATAACTTATATGAATTAGTTTTAAATATATATATAAATAAAACATTTCCTTGACAACAAGTATAAATTCAGCAATATTATCCATTCCTTGATATTTGAACGTTCTACATTCACGAACACAATTACATTCGAATAAACAAGAAATTATGCTGAATTTTTTTTATATCAAGTATCAATAAAGTGAAATCAACTAAATTCGTGTCCTATTATGGTAATCGAAAAATTAACGGTGTGGTGCATGAAAAATTGGAATAGCATTTTGGATCCCCTACACATAAAAGAGAACCTGGTGTGTTTTACTTTCAATACATTCGTTGAAATCACTGTAGTGCCTATATACTATGTACATCATCGCTTCCGCCAGAGTTGAAAGATTTCGTATCATAAGCGACATATCTATGTACTTAACAGTTGACATTCGCTAATTCACCGTTAATACTAACTACCCGAGAATGCATTTACATATTTATGAGTTTTTTTTTCCTTTTATTGTATTTTTTTGAAAATTTATTGACACTTTTAAATATTTTTATGTTTTTCCCCAGACGATGGTAACGGTATGGCGATCCTATTTCTGATAATAATATTATTCTGTTTATCGATTTTTTGAGTATCTGTTAATTTACATTTTGAACATATTGTATCATACTTAATGCAATGGAATAAAAAGGACAATTATTATGCATAAGTATATTCGTGGACCGTGGTACATCCACGTACAAATTTATACTTTTGTGTACATATTTATTTCGGTTAAACTAACCAATTAAAATCAGAACCTAGAATTTCGATACAACGATCTCGTTTTTCGTCATCGATTTTGTAGACATGAATACAGTGCTGCGCGGAGACCTTGTAGAGTCTAGGTACTTAAGGTGACCATATATTTTTGTAGTCGAAACAGGATAAAAAAAAAAAATCATTTTTATTAAAAACTATTTTTTTTATTTAATGATTATTTATAAAAATTATGTACTATTATAGTTTTAAGAGACAAAAAAAAAAATGAAATTTTATTAAATACAACTTTTTTTATGTAAAAGAAAACTGTAGACGATTACTGTAATACCGAAACGACGAATTATGAAAAATAATTTTTTGTTAGCGCTGATCTTGCGGTATTAAAACACATTAGGTTGATACATCTTTCAGCGCAATAGGTGTTATTATATTTTATTAGTATAGTTATGATAGGATACACCACACAGCCTCGATTCCGTTCAACATCAACCATGCAGTAATAAAGTATATACACGTTATACTATTTTTTTGGGTGTTTGCTAGGATCATCCCATCATACATCCAGCTTTCCATCCCTCTCGGTCTGCTGCTCGTGCCTTTCGATCACTTCCTCCTCCTAGTTCTTCCACGTCCCTCTTCACTACATCCTCACCTCTCTTTTTCGGTCTTCCTATGGGTCTTTTTTTCTGTAGGATTCTTCTCCAATGTTGTACGGAGTAATGCGTTTTGGTTTCTCCAGGCGTGTTCCGCCCATTGTAGTCTCTTATTTCGTATACACGTTATATGCGTACATAAAATAGTTAAACGCAATAGAAACAGATGGTCATCGGTAGATTGAAATCGGTTATCGTTATTTTTTACTATTTTCTGAAAACGGGACATTTTAGCGTCCCGAAAATGTTACCGGAGACAACGGGACGTATGGACCAACTAATGTACACCGTGTGCACGATAAAAGCGCAGTAGTAACCTGATTCGTGTCGCACTTTCCGTTTTTCAACGTACATTTCTGCACGTGCTTCATTGTTGTTCCATCACATCAAGTTTCACGCTCCGGGAACCGTCGCAACCGTAATGTGTAACAGTGTACCGTAATATTTTATCGTAAAAATATCCCGTCGTGCTTTGGATGGTACCCGATCGAGCGCGGTACGATCGAATATCATCATCGGTACCGCGAGGTTCATCGAAAACGTAAGCATAGCGTAGGACACGTAACGAGCATCTGTTTTCGTTTGACGCAGGCCCGGCGCGACGGAGTAATAAAGATTGTTTCCAGCGAGGTCCCAGCGCCGACCGTTCCTCCGATCGATTTCCGTTGCGCGCTGCGCGCGTTATTTATCATACCGACGTCTGGGTCAGCGGCGGGCATGTACGTCGCGTTACGTGTGCACGGGTACGAGTCCGGTGTAGCCAAGGGCACCGATGAAAAATCCTGTTTCTATCCGGCTGTCGTCTAATTATAATCGCGGTGCGTGTGCTATGAGCTTGTGTACGCACGCGGCCGTGTGTGTTTCACCACTGTCCCTGCGCGCTGTTGACGCGCTGCCGAGCCCGATGCTTATGCTTACTTGTGCGTTACGCGGTCGAGTGCCTCGAATCCGCGCTGGCACGAAAACGTTTGGCGTCCGTCACCGGAGACGACACGTGCTGAACGTCATTGC